CTGTGTCAATTTGAGTCTTGTTAAAGTTTTAAATCCCTGCCACCAAGATGCTCCTCTGTCGGTCACGGATTATGGAAAGTGAAACTTAAAATCTATAGAGGTGGTTGGATTTATTCACGCACGTTAACATATTTATTTGAAGCTTCTTTCTTTTCAGATTCTTATTTACAGCATTATTTTAATAGGCTGTATATTAACTTATTGGGAGAAAACCAGTAGTTCTATGGGAAATCAGACATTTGAGCGCCCCCATATAGCCGAAATGGCATGATCATAACACCTCTGCGAATATTCGACTGTGAGATTGGTAGTGGAATAGGGCTCCTCCTATCGAAGCATCGAATCTTCGACTATTCAGGGTCACCCCTAATTTTAAGATGTTTTCTTGTAAGCATTATAGATAGTTTGTGTTTCTGGTGTAGAACCAAACTTTATTTTTCTTAATTTAATGCTGTATATTGAGCAGTGGACGATGTAAAAGCCATATACGAGATGCATATCTGAGGAAAAATGCATTGCTGGTCGGCGCCACCTAGCATGCAGGCGTGAATTAGGCGATCAATGGGTTTGCGCTCCGTGTGAAAGCACGGTTCTTCGGCGCGCCGTGTGAAACGCTTGGGCTGTAGTCCGCTGTAGTGCAGCATGCATATGTACCTCTATGCAGAGCGTGATGGCCTCCAGTCCTCTCAGAGAGTGCCGGTCAAACGGGTCGAAGCTGTCGTCTCTCATGATGGGCGGCTGCAGCACGTAACCGCTCCTGCCGTTCAGCATGAAGAGCGCCTGATTCATCTGCATGGGCTTATCTGCAGAGAAACGATCGCTCTGTTAAACGACAGGACGACGGAGGAACAAGAGGACAGGAGCGAGATAAATCTACGAAACCTTCTCGAATAGACGAAAATAAATGAAACTACATAAAAACCCTTGTCAGACCAACAAAATTACCCCAAATGTTGTCCCCAACTAGTCAAGCACAGCTGTCTGAACAATGAATTTCATATTGTTGAAATGCTAAGGCTTTGTGAGTTCCCAGCATGCATTGCAGCATGAATAAATCATGCAGTTACTGTTATAGGGTTATTGTTTTGCTGTTTGCTGACTTCATTTAAACTTTTTTGTTGTTGGTTTGTCATTTGTTGTACGGTGATGTAAAGAGCTCATCTTTTTAACATTTGCTGATTGCCACCGTTCTTGAGGTTTGAGCGTCTAGTTTCGAGGCCTAGAGTATGCTCAACAACTTATATCCATTTCCTGGATATCTTAGTCTTGTGAGTTGTTTTACAATCAAAGACAATGTTGTCTACATATTAGACCGAGTTATCCATTAAGGTTTATCATTCGTACAGGGTTCCCACTCTAAGCCAAATGTCAAATTCCCTGACTTTTCCCTGACTTTCACTGACTAAAAAGCTGAATTTCCATGACCTATAATGAACGGAAAAACAGGCCGCTCCCTCTCCCATATTTGATAGCTCAATAGTAGTTTTACAAACTTTACATGTAGCTTTTCTGTCGTCTGTTTTAAACACCCAGTCTTTGAAGTGGTCATTTTTTTAGGCAAAGCTCTTGAAATTTACATTTTCCTGGCATGTTTGCCTTAGTTAACAGGTACAGCCTGATGACTGCCTTTGACTTCAGTGATGAGCGGGAAGGGAATAAAATGGCACTGAAAAATAGCCTAACCATAACAATAGGCAAACGTTTGAAAAAACGCGATATAAAAAAAAAAATGGTACAGAAAAATTACATTTTGATCAACGGAAACTAAAATTTAAAGCGACAAGCAAAAATCCCTGATACTGCATGACTTGGACAAAAAATAAATAAAATTCCCTGACTTTCAATGTCTGGAGTAGACCTTTTTAAAATTCCATGATATTCCAGAAATTCCATGACCCGTGGGAACCCTGTTCGTAAATAAACATAAAATCGGTAACATGAGCTGTGTCTCATTTAGAAGGCTGTGCCCTCCGGAGGTCGCATCCTCTGTAGGATGCATATACGAAGTGTCCTCAACCTAGAATTAAACGAGACGGCCTTCGTAGGACAGGCGGAAAAGGAAACAGGAAGTATCACGTTGCTATGCCAACACATTTAGAGCATCATTGTGCTCTCACACTACTTAAATGAAGGAAAATTATTTCTAAATTTGGAAAGTAATTTGAAAAAAAAAATGCTTTTACTTGTTTTATTTTGTTCAATGTTTGAGGAGCTGCAGCGTACGTACAGCAGACATCTGTTAGAGAAAAAAAGGAGGAGGATATTAAAAACAAAGTTTATCCGTTTTTACCGAGGCGATTTAAGGTAAGTTGTAAACACCACATCTGCGCTTGTGTGTACATCTGCCGGCGCCGGCATTTTTCTAATTAACAACGGTTGTTTACGGCGACGCAAAGAATTGTGGGTTATCTGTAGCAGCGAAGGATACACCTCATGCATCCTCCGAATTCCCGTGAAAGAAGGTCGCATTCGAAGTGTCCTACTTTCTTTTCTGAAATGAGACAGCCTCGATGACGTATGCAGCCTTCGAATGCGACCTCCGGAGGGCGCAGCCTTCTAAATGAGACACAGCTATGGTGACTGTTTACGCATTCAATTGCTGTGACAAGAATTTTTCTACCAGCACAATAAGACAATCAGCATTGCATGAACAAACTAATTTACTAATAAATCGATGCATCGCGATTCGTGGATCAATTCTGAGATTTTCAGAATGCATCGTGATTCTCTCTGGAATCGATTCTGAGCTTAGTTTTTAACAGCAGATGGCGCTCTAGGCTAGTTTTTAACCGCACACTCAAATGCTCACAAAGAAGTGCGCTTGCGCGTTC